TGTTGCATGTTGCATGTTGCATGTTGCATGTTACTCACTATATAAGTTTGACATGTACTATATCCATATCCTGTAAATGATGTCAGCACAAAAGAAAGTATATACAGGCAAAGTTTGTTTTGTAAAAATGTAATAATCTTGTTATAATATAATTTCTTGTTGAAACGTAACCAAACTCATAATTCGAAATTTGAAATCAAAACCAACTATTTCACATATCTGACATACGCTATATAGTACAGTTCAAGCTTGGTCAGTGCGACAGCAACAAAACCTTCCAACCTTTTTTGAAATAGCCCTATTGTCAGTCTTCCTACACATTTTCGTATATTAACCAAAAAAGGCAACGTTCGACGGTGAAATAATGTTTATCTTTTCAGCGCACGGAGTTTAATTATACCCCCTCGGGCCTAGAAACTACATGTTTTACTGCGCGAACATGCAGCTAAAGCGCCACAACGTAAACATCGGGATTTTTTACCCAAGTTTTGACAATTGGATACAAATATTATGAATCAAAGTTCTACATACTATAATAATAAACTCAATTAAAACCGCTTTCAGACCTCAGTTGCCCAAAACTTGCGAGAGACAGAGGCCATCCCAGACCCTCTGATTTGTTGTTGTCGCGGAAAGTTCCTTGGTAAAATATATTGAATTTGTTTTCAAACTATGGAACTCGCTACCAATACACTGTAAAATGAATGTAGTAAGCCTTTCCAAATTAAGGAACTTGTTAAGGAACACCCATTTTGCTTCCAAAATGGAACATTACTTACAACCTTAGAATCTTTTGAGTTTGAATCTTGATAAATTTTGATGTTTTCCGTTTTATTATCGTTTTTTCCTCGTCAATTTTAATGTTAATTATGTTTGTACTGTATGTAAATTGTATGGAGATGGAATATCAATTGGGACGAAAATTCTGTTTTCTAGCTTCGCCAGTCACAAAATTTGTATGTCTCAAGTTTTATAAAATGTATATGTTTATATTGTGACAAATAAACTAAACTAAACTAAATTAAATTCATAAAACCGTAGCTATTTGATTGTGTACTACACCTTAGAGTGCAAATAATATACCCGTGAAATAGATAGCTAGCTAACTAATTACTAACTTTGTGCTATTGGTTGCCTAATTAAGTCTAATTAGTCAAAGAAATAGGCGAGCCGTGACGGGTGAACTAGTGCASGTGTGCTACTCAAGGGCGCGCATTTTTAAATATTTTAAAGCACGCTTGCAAAAACTGAAACAATATTTTATTGTACATGCTTTTCCTTCGTATAATTTGACATGTTCGCATTTTCGAATTGGTATCTGTTCAACAACAAGTGGAGCTTGATTCATGTTTTATGACTTGATATTCAGCTGATGACTGTATAATCTTCAAATTGTCTAGTGTTTAAGTCATTGCTTTTTCGTTCTTAAAGCTAAATTACAAACGACGATAGTTTTTCTTCATTAATTGTCCACACTGCGGGCAGAAGCAAAAGTGGCGTTCTACGAAGCTCAAACAAGTAGGGCTAATATGGTTCAGGCGAAATGGTTTTTGGGCTGGCCAAAGCCAATACGCAGAAGACACCTGGAGTACTGGAACAC